TCCCCTTTTTTGGCCTTATTTTTGCATGTTTTGTTAGCCCCTTGTGCTTGTATTTTTGGGATCTGGTCAGAACTGTAAATAGCCTTATTTTGTTCCCCTCTTCATGTTTGATCAAGGGACTTTTGCTGTTTGAAGTTCCTTTTTTGCTCTTTGTGTTTAAACCTCTTTTTAGGCCTTATTTTGCATAGTATTTTAAGCTTGCATGTGCACTGTTTTGGGTTTGGTTACTTACTGTAAAACACCATGTTTTGGGCCCCTCTTCAACTTTGTTGAAGGGCCCTCCTCTGTTTGAGGCCAGAAACCATCACTTGCTTCTTTGTCTCCCTTTTGGCCCATTTCTTGCACAATAGTTTAGCCATACTTGTGTTTGTTTTCGTGGCTTGTTGTAAACTGTAAAGTGCTTCATTTTGACCCCCTATTCAACTTTGTTGAAGGGATATTGGCCATTTAGGGCCATAAGATACTACTTGCTTCATTATCTCTCTTTTGGGGCCATTTTTGCATGTTAACTTAGCCCTATTTGTGTTCACTTTTTGGCATTGCTTAAAACTGGAAATATGCATTTTTTGGGACTATATTTCTTATTTCTTCACACTTCATGTTTGAATAATGCATGTTTTGTATAGCTATAGGCCAATGCATATGCCTAGTTTTGTGTTTCGGGTTCATTCCATGCATCGGGTGCCATGTTTCCATGTTTCGGGGCTGTTTTGCATCATATTTCAGCACTGAAATTTGCATGTTTGCATACCATGTTTCATGCCTTGCCATGCCTTGTTAGTGTTGCATGCTATGCCTTGGGTTCGGTCCTCGGTTTGCGTGCATGCGTGCACGCATCTCGAGTGTCTCATTTTCATCTAATGGCTACCGATGTGAGTGTGGCTGAGGTCCACTCATGTTAGTGTAAGTCCATTGTGCATTGAGTATGCCATTTCATTGCATTGCGTATGCTAGGTTGTATGTTAGCGCATTGTGTATGCCATGTTACCTCGTGCATCGTGTATGCCATTTCATAGCATTGTGCATGCTAGGTTGTATATTAGTTGCATTCATGCATCATGTTAAAATTGCAT